AAGCCTAATATACGGACATTGTTTCCGCAGACGATCAACACGCTGCCCATTCTTTACTTTACACAAACAAATTTATATACTTGGAGTGATAACCGCAAGTCTGACCCATACCAGCCTAAACGTGTGTTTAGGAAGGAACGTTGACAACATACAGGGCTAATTACTAGACTGTCCGCGACAGCGTTCAGCTTAGCAATGACGGCTCCAGAATATGAGTGCATTTCGAAGGATCAGTGCTACGCACACTAAGTATTCTAAGGTTCAGAAGTATGGTAGGCAAAACAGCGACGAGCGCCATAGTTGAGAAGGTTCGCATCGAAAGGTGCGGATGGAGCTGGAGAAACAAGCAATTCATTTACACAGGAAACGCCCAGACAGGAAGGAAAAATAATAGTATCCTATAACCTAAATGCTTTAAAGTGTAGAATAAAAGGAAAAAGGCTAGCCTTCTAAAAATGCATACGAGACGCCTGAGAACTTACTTCTCGATGGAAAAAGTCCGGCCACCGTGCTTGTATATACACTGATAATAATCGGTAAACGGGTCGGCGCAATTTTTTTTCAAAAGGCTTAGAAATTTAAGGCCACAAGCTGTCACCTCCTTCCCTTCTTTCAGGCATTTACGGGGATCGTGATGCTCTTGATTGCAGAGCATGAATTCCTACGAGATTAGAAAGTCACCAACAGATGCACCTTTGACTGCTTGTCGCAGAATTTTCCCATGTGAATAGCTGCAGCAAGCAGCGGAACGGAGGTCATTTTTATTTCTGGGACCTCTAACTCGCCCAAAGTAGGCAAATCCATTTTTTGCAAACACTCGAAAAGGGGAGAGGAAACCAAAAACTAATAACGCGCGGAGCAGCTAAAACACCAAACAACTCCCGCGGGCACTGTCCACTTTTGGTCAGTTTGACGAATTATAACCTGCCACCCTCATTCTTTTTTCGTTGATATTTCGGTTGCCTGGTTGAGAATCTGTGAAACAATCGCTTCTTAACGTCGAAACTAATGTTCTCAATATTGACTCGGTAAATAGATGAGATTGCAGAAACAGTTAAAACCTCTGGAGTTTTGGCGTAATTTCCACCTGCAATGTGTTATGATGAAAAAATTGTTGTTTATTAATTCAGTGTGCCATCATCATATAAACTTTTTATATTCCTACAGAAGCATGACATGTTTGGTCTTACCAAACGGTGCGATTGACCTGAGTTCATTTGCATCAATTGGGTCTTTCGAAAGCACGAGTGCTTGTGGGCTCTTGGCCCTACTTATGTGTTGTTTAAATTTATCAATAACC